ACTGCATCACTGAATTTGAAGAGCAGAGAAGCCTGGAGTTTTTATTCTTTCACTCGTATCCTTCACCACACATAGTGGAAATGCATTCACACCTAGCCTGGGAAAGGTTATGAACACACATAATCATATGCCATTACCCTTTTTTAAGAGAGAGCTGTGTTTTCAATAAGGTTTTGGAATTTGATGCCAAACTTAGACCCAGTTATGGGGAGCTTTTATCGGCAGAAGATAGATCAGAATTTTGGAGCGTGGGCTGCTTTTCTGAAGGTCCATTTGTAAGCTAAAAGTTCCACAGACAAGGAGGCCTCTTAAATATTTTCAACTCCTTTCACCTAATGTTTTCCACTCTTAACAAGGCAAAAGAAGCCTATTTTTCACTAGCACATGCATGGCTACACAGTTTACATTGCTATTACATTACATTTAGCTGAGCAACATAGCAAGATCTGGGTTGACGAAGAGCACGATGAAGTTTGAAGGATTTTTAACAGGGTCCTTGGTGTCTCGTGAACATGGGGTTGCACTGAGTTTTAGCCCTGTTCAGTAGTGCTGGCTGGTTTTTTACACAAGACCGAAGCGCATGCAATACATGCCTTTACGTAGGCCTAGACTGTCAGTTGTGCAAGACCAGTTGCAGTTCCATTGACTTTACCATTTTGCAGGGTTTGGCCTGTACTAGTGTTCTGTCCTTCCAAAAGGGAGTGCTGTCCTGTTTGTAGTGGTCTTAGCTTATCCCCTAGTGGATAGCTGCTCACATCACAGAGTGTCGTGAAGATACAGGAGTCATTGTTTGGTGCAGCGGAGCAAAGAATGAGGAGAGAGCAAAAGTCATCTACTCAGCCCAGTGTCCTGGTGTTGGAAATAAGGTAGGGTAAAGAAAGTGAATTGCTTCAGGAAACGTCTTTTGGTAGATCCTCGGGCACCAAGAATCATATCCGTGAGCACTCCCAAATCTTAACATTTAGGAATTTTTTCTGGGTCTGTTTTCAATTCTATGTTGCAACGAAAAGTAACATTGATGTATGGTGCTGATCTGGTACTGCTTGGTCTGCTGGTTCTGTTCATGGTACAGAGCACTGGGGAAGGCTTGTCTTTTTGAGAAGGAGAGGGTCAAAAATTCTTTCTACTGGTCTCATGGTTTGTTACTGTAATACTTAATTGAAGTAGAAAATTTGATCTGACATGTCAAATGTGGCCCTGGTTGGCTACAGGCCAAATTGGGCCGCGTAATTTCAGTTTGCCTTAAAATGGCTGACATTAAAGTTCACATGCCCAAATTTCCCTTTGGAATGTACTTTTGAAATCTTTTTTTTTGGTAGTTTTATAAATCTTTCTGTATCGGTTTTTCCTCAAAAATTAATTGCTTCAGAAAACAACAGTCCAAAAGCTTAAGTAAATGGTTCACGTAGCATTTCTGGGCCCACTTTGTATCATGAAGTTTCTTACATCTGTGGATTGGAGAAAATGTTTATTAACAAATCGCTTTGCCTAGCGCAAAGCCTATTTGACAACAGATTATTAAGTTGCCTGCAATGGAAGAAAAACTGAATAGGAAATAAGGAAATATTTATTTCAGTCTTCTAGGGTTTGGGTTCAAGTTTTTCGTAAGTTGTTCATGAAGATGGCAAAAAAGTTACATCAGATTTTCAGTATTTCTTTTGCAACTTTGTATGTTTCATTATTTGGCAAAGAGAGAAAATGAAATAAAATCATCCATATTTGAGCCAATACCAAGGTTTGCTGGCTGCTGTGGCTGGGATGGAAGTGTCAGAGTGGGGTATGTTGTTGCCTGGAATCTGTCCTAGAGTGGGATGTAATCGGTGAGTCATATGAAGCGACGATTTTGTGTTCAGTATCTAGTCTTGTTCCACATCTAAGTATCTTCCTATAGTTGTGAGCAAATTTGCTTCTGCCTCTTTCAGCGTCAGAAGGCTGCACAAAACAAGGGAAGTGCAGTACAGTACATTACTGACCTGCTTTGGATATTTATAGATGGAATTTTTGATGAGTTCATGACACAGCCACAGTATTTCTGTGGAGGGGTATGAAAGTGTTTTCAGTGGGATGTCCAAGCAGATAAAAATACACAAGAGCAAAAGTTTAATCAAATGACTACAGGTTGTAGTCAGAAACCTTGTGTTTCATGAGTTTCAGAGATGAACCTCCGTTTCTTGACTAATAGCAACGTGTAGTGCCTCAGTATTTCATAGACCAGGTGGGAAACTACTAGAACTATTACATTTTTCCATTGTTAAAATGGAACCTGAAGGCATGGTGGGTTTTTTAAAGCATGTACCGAGAGGCAATTCCTGCCTCAACCAGCAGATGATCTGTGTAAACAAAATGGGATAGTGGATGGAAAGAAAACTGGCGGAGGTGATCACAGCAGTTCAAGAATTACGTTGGCAGCAGTCCTTTTTTTTTTTGAGTCCAGCTGAAGTGCTTTACCACATTAGACAGCACTAGCTTGTTAGGAATACTGAAGTCCTGTGACGGGAGGTGACTTGAAGTTAGAAAAATCTGCACGCCCCACATAGCACCTGCTTTTGTCTCCCCTTTTTTTCACTCCATTTGCATCTCTCTGTGGGGAAGGCAAACCTGGTTTTCCTCCATGCACACACCTTGTTTACTGCTGGTTTTTTCTAGCAGATCAATACTCGCTCCTGGCAACAAAAGGTTAAGCATCATTTCCCAGGTCCACTGAAATGTTGTGTGCTCAGAGCCCTCCTGATCGTTGGTGTCAGCCTTGTTTTAAAGGGGAAAGAAGGGGGACAGTGGAGAAAGCTGGAGATAAGACACGATTTCTTTAAAAATGCAAATGAGCTTGTTCTATTGAAATATCTGTCCTCCAACCCTTCTAAAACCTGACACTTGCTCTCCTTTTCCCGAAGCTGATTTTTTTTACGCGTGACCCGTGGTACTGATCCCACTCCGGCTGTGTGAGGAGTGCGGCGGAGGGGGAACCGGGCCCAGGATGGCCATCTCCACGCCTGCCTGAACAGAATGTTCTGCAGACAGCAGAGCGCGGATGGTCGGGGGGAGGAACGGGTTTCCATGCTGAGTCTTGCCACCTGTTGCCTTTTTCATTCCAAGCCCCCCTTCCTCCCCACCCTCCACCCCAAGTTCCCCTCCCCACACAGCTCACCATCCCCAGTGGATAGGGTTGGGATCAGTAGTCACTTGCCAAATACCTTTCTAATGCTGTCACTAATTCTGCACAGACAGCATCTCTGAAAGCAAAAACAAATCTTTTCCAATGCATTGTCCTGCGTTTTCTACAAAAAGTGTTTAGAAATGCCTTTTCTTAGTTGAGTTAGATGGGAGGGACCACGCCATCGCCACTACAAGAGTCAGCCCTAGGGAAGCCTGAAGCTGCGCCGAAAGAATCCTCTGCAAATCCATTGAAGCTGGCATTTGGCACTGGCACGGGCTAATTTTGTACTCGGGGTTACACATATACACACCCATGTCGTTCTTCTTCATCTGCTGCGTATGGAAGGCTGCCCCAAGCTCCAGAGTGCCAAGGAATGTTTAACTAAAACCTCCAGACTTGGTTTGATTACGTTACTATGCGCACTGGGCTGTAGAAGTGGTAAGAGTGGTGCGTGCTGCCAGATGAACTGGCATTAGCTAGATAGTCATCGGCTTGAGCCATAGTTCCACACTACTGCCCTGCTTCCATGAAAGTAGTAGACTGTTCATGGACATGAGGTCATAATTTCGTCCTAATTAAGGTGTGCAAAAGGGATGGCATTGCTCTAGTTACATAGCTGTTGGGTTTGCCTGGAAGTCAGTCGGGAGTCTGGAGGAGTGCATTTTAACAGTACTGCTTTCAGTGCCTCGTGGACTCTTCAGGTGAAGTCATTTAGATCACAATTTTCAGGAGTGAATAAGCATTTGGAGAAGCAGTCTCTAAGTTGCCAATTTAAGATGCCTTGAAGGGGACAGATTTTCAGAACACAAGACACTGGCGAGTAAGAGCCTTTCTTTCGTTGGCAAATAGACCTGGTTTTGAAGCATTTCAGGCTCTCAAAATGTTGCTGTGCCTGTGTTTTACAGACACACCTGTATAAATACTTGTTTGCCCACAAAAATCACAGCGAGGTGTAAGGATGAAAAAATTTAATGCAAATACGAGTGATTACTAGTTATTGCAGCATGGTTCTGCCACGTTACTTAGAACCAGGTTGAATGGGAATATGGAAAGGTAGAGAGTTTGGAATTGGAAAAAAAAAAAAAAAAAGAAAGCAAGCAAAAGGAATAGAAACTGAGGTGGTGTGTTTCTCTTATTATTTCTAGTCATGATGCAGCATAAGGTCCAGAACCTTCTCCCTCCCTGCTGATAGATGTGTTTGTACTGGCAAGCCTTCAAGCTGGTATCCCCAGTGCACCAGTTAAACCAGTAGTTACCAATTTTTTTGCAAGCCACGCTGGGACTATAGGAATTTTATTCCTTCACAGTGTTGAAGGAAAGGGGTTTTGCTTGCCAAAGGGCTTTCTTATGCTTGAGGATGATTTATGGGCCAAGCTGAGCCACTTGTGGAAAAGGCAAAGCAGCTCTTGGCAGCACCCCCAGAATCCACTGCAGCTGTGGGGTAGTGAAGTCATCGGCATAACAACCACTGCAAACAGAATAACAAAGTCTGTTCTGTTCTCGTTTAAAATAATCTTTCCAGTTCAGCAACCACATTAAACCTTACCTTTCTGCATACAAAAATAATAAAAGGCCGATGGTTCTCTGCAACATGGTGTGAATGTCTCACTTATATTACTGCCTATACTCCTGCACCATCTACGCTTTGTCGGAGTATTTTAAATGAAGGAATGAAGCCCCATTATGTCATAGTTTGTGTCTGTCCCTTGTTTCCACTCCTTTGTTTGTCCTTAGGTTTAAAAAGGCAGAAAAAAACCTCAGTCTGTCTTTCTTTTAAACACAAAATTTTGCTGATTGCAAAATGAGTAATTCTGTCTTTGATTTTTCCTGCCTGTCTTTGTTTCAGGTCTCTTCAGATCCTCCTGCTTCCAAAAAGCCCAAAATAGATGACTCTGCTTCCCAATCTCCAGCTTCTACTGAGAAGGAAAAACAGTCCAGTTGGTTACGGTCCTTATCCAGTTCATCTAACAAGGTGACTGCTGAATATTTTGTAATCAAGAGAGAGATCAAATTAGCATGTAGCATCACTCTGCTGAAACCAGAAGAGAAAATGAGATAAAGAACTTGCCCAGGTTTTCTAAATTAGTAACATATCTACCCTTTTCCTAGAAAACATTGAGCTATACAGTCCTCCCAGTTTCCTTGCCATCTTCCAGTGTTCACTGACTTTGATTGTGCCAATGAAGTAAGCAATTCCTTCATGCCTTTGAGGTACAAGAATCCTGCAAGACTCAGGAGCCTTTTGTGGCCTCTGTAAACTACATATAACTTACTGGCAAAGAAAAAATGTGAGGTTTTACATTAGTACAGTTCACCTCTTCCAGTGGAATCTACTAAGTAAGTAGGTCCTGGCCAGTGGGGGAGTAGTTTTAGAGGTAACAGAAAGTGTACTGAAAAGCATCGCTAGCACTCCATTGCTCGTATTCACTTATTTTCCTTTCCCCTCCTTCCCAGAGTATTGGCTGTGTCCATCCCCGTCAGCGTCTCTCCGCTTTCCGGCCCTGGTCCCCTGCTGTATCAGCAAATGAGAAAGAGCTCTCAACCCATCTTCCCGCATTGATCCGAGACAGGTAAGGAGACGTGAACTGAAGGGAGAATGGGGTTAGCAGCCGCGGCGATCTGTTTGACAGCAAGTTGCTTTATGTTTGTTCCCTTGCACTGTTAACTGGTGGCTTTGTAATTCAGTCAGTCAGTCAGGCCACTAGTATCAGATTAAAAAGCATTTGCAGCTGCAGTGTTTTAATTCGCAGAAGGGAAACAAAAAAAAGTATTGATATTTTGTGCATTCATTAAACAGGTTTTCTTAGGTGAAACATGCCATAAAAGTCTGAAATGAAGGCTGCCTCTATGAACTTATGATCATTTTGGGGTACAGTCATCAGAAGTTCTCGGGCTTCACTGTTTAAAGGACGACTGAGTTACTCTCTTAGGGGCAGGTGCTCAGGGACCAGCCAGCTATTTCCAGGCAACTGCCAATTGGTGACTGCAGCAGCTCTGTAACACTGGCCGGTCAGCATGTTGCCAACACAGCTGCATGCTGCCTCCTCTATTGACAATACCAAAGGAAGATGAAGGACTGAACGGACAGCACAGGCTACCCCATCCCTCTTGATGGCCAGTGGTCCTGGAGGGGTTGTGGTAGAGCACACTGGGCAGGCGAGCCTGCTGAAGACTCCTCAGCTTGTAAGACCCATCAGAAAGCTGATGCTGTAGGCCAGATTCTGCTCTTGGATAGAAACATAATTAAACTGGTACAAGAATGAGTCACCACCCACAATAGGTGGGACTACTGGTGTCATAGTTAGAACCGAAAGTGTCAGGGCAATTATACATTCCTTTGCCAGACTGGAACTGTTCCGTCTGAAAAATCCTTGTGCCAGATTTCTGCCTAAGGGTAATGATTTCTTTGGAAAGTTTGACTAAAGTAGCCAGGTGTTATTAGGGAGTGTTACAGAGAACATATTTTGCTGCCCTTATGAACAAGTTTCTTAGAAGCTGTGGGGATTGATTTAAAAAAAAAAAAAAAAAGAGGAAAAAAAGCCTACTGGCATATATCCTTGCTTTTAAAGAGGCTTTTAAATTAGGTATGGAGAGAAGGGCTAAACTGGTGTAAGAGTATGCCCTTGGTATCCCTGTGAGAAATTCGGCCAATTTGTCTTGGGGGGGGGAAAAAACCCACCTTCAACAGGTTCAGGAGAAATTTTAACATGTAACTGAAGATTCACCATGTAGTAGATGCTGAATGATGTTGCAAAGGCAGTGTTCGCTACGTTTTTTGTAAAATTCTATGTATTTGATGTTACAATATTACTGTCCTTTAACATAGGTTTGTTGGGGTTTTTTTAACTGTGATTTTCCATACATGCACTCAGATGCGTGCTGTGTCCAAAAACTAAAGAAACACAAGAATATGCTCCTGTAGCCTTTCTTAAGGAAGTGCTGTCTCCAAGTTTATAAAACATTTGTGGATAGACAGAAGTAAAACCGTGCAGTTAGGTAAAACAATAATGCATGAAGATCATGAGGAAACATCATTATAATATTTAGACTCTGGGAGATCTCATCTCTTTGGTGCTCTTAGAATATGTGGCACTTTGAATATCGTCCCTTCTGAACTGGGTGGAGATTAGCTGTATGAATCATCTCCATGTTTAAATGAGTGCAAAACGCTAAGCAAATATATGGGCAGATTCTTAACTGGTGTAAATCAATGGAACTTCACTGTCATTCCAGTAAGTGCCTTGCAGTTTCAGTGTAACACATGGATTGGGAAGCATTTTAAAGCCAAGAATATGACTATTTTCTCCTTCCTTTTGCCTCCCCCTCTAAACCAGTTTTTACTCCTACAAAAGCTTTGAGAATGCTGTGGCCCCCAACGTGGCACTTGCACCTCCAGCCCAACAGAAAATTGTGAGCAACCCCCCCTGTGCCACAGTAGTATCACGGAGCAGTGAGCCACTGAGCAGCACTGTCCAGCCGCGGAAAAGAAAACTTGCTGCAGAGAACACAGCTATCCCAGAAGCAGCAGCCACTGTTGCGGCCACTGTTACTGCCACTGAGGAGGATAAGGAATCAGAAGCAGAAATTGAAGTGGAAACCAGGGAAGAATGTAAGTGACAGTTTTATCTGCCTTTATTTTGCTTTATTTGTGCCGGATTTTCCTCAGTAATCCACAGGAGTTAGCCGTTTAACTTCTGTTGTGTTTTAAATATAATTATGGAAGCCTAATACCTCAACAGGATGTAAAAATACAACCTTAATAAATAATGAAAATGAAGAATGAAATGTAAGTTGGGGGGGGGGGGGGGGGGGGGGGGTTTTCCTGGGAGAGGAACGTGCATCGACGAAAAGAAGCACGTGAACAAACCCCAGGTGTCCACTAACCCAGAGTCTTTTATTAAAGCAGGTAAATGTTGTGCAGAGGACAAAATGTATGTGGTGTTCACATAAACACCGATGGTTTGCTATCTGATCAAGAGCCTTCTATAAAAGCCTTTGTGGGATACACACAAATAGCCCGTAAAAATTCCAGAGCGCACACACGTGCAAGTGTGGAATTTTGTGTCAGACAAAGAACGTGGTCACTCATTTTCAGTACTTCATCCATGGAGTTGAATACAGAAAGCAGAGATCAAGAGCCAGTACGTTCTTGAACAGTATTCCGGTATCGGGCCTCTCAGCAAAAGACGGAGGAAGACACTGGTATCACCTCATTAATGTCACTTAAATAATTCTGCTGCTGCCCTCAGTATGTTCAGTCCTTACTCAGTGTGTGCAGTTCGTGCAAAAAGAAGAAATTTTGCCCACTGAAAACAGCAGGATGATGTAGGTTTCCCTGAAGAAATCTGTTTCTTCGCACCCCATGGAGCAAACACTGTTTGTGACATAAATTCCAAAGTCACAATTCAGGCAAATTGTAAGTTGGTGCCTTCAGTCAGTCAGGTTTGCGTTTTCATCGCATTTCAAGTATCGAAGTGTAAAACGAGTATTATCCTTCTCCCGTTTTTTTTCCATTGAATATTGAGTATCTCCTCTGTGCAAAAGGGCCTCAGCATATTTTGAGGTACAGTAGGTTTAGACATTTTTTTATTAATTTTCGATGTTTCTATTTTTCAGTCACGTCCTCCTTATCCTCGCTCTCCTCCCCATCCTTTACTTCATCCAGCTCTGCAAAGGACATGAGCTCACCTGGGATGCAGGCCCCAGTCACAGTCAACAGTTCATACGAGGTTGCGCCACATTCTGACTCTCACAGCAGTGGGTTGGAAGCTGAGCTGGAGCACCTACGGCAGGCCCTGGACAGTGGCCTAGATACAAAAGAAGCCAAAGAAAAATTCCTCCATGAAGTTGTTAAAATGAGAGTGAAGCAGGAAGAGAAGCTAAATGCTGCCTTGCAAGCCAAACGCAGTCTACACCAGGTAATGCTGAAAGATAGCTTTTTAGGTAGTCTCGTGTTAAAAAGAATTGCCTCATTTTTCCCAAATAGCAACAGCCTTTACTGGGGTACTGTTTGTAAGTTCAGCCGGGATACCGAAGTGTACAGGAACCATTCCTACATTTTTAAGCTTGCCACCTGGTTTTGCCTTGGGGTATAAATCCATGGTTACCAAAATCAACATCTTTTCATTACTGAAAAAAATCTTCTAGTCCAGCACAGTTTATTTTGTTTTCATTTCACTGAACTAGAAACGTTTCCGTCCTTTTGGAGGCTTTATCTGTAGTTTTAAAAATTTGTGAATATCCTGCCGTTGCCCAGCTGAGGGAGGGTGTTCCTGGGACAGAGACACTTGGCTGAAACTCTGATGAAGAGCTGAACTACAGGGCTTTGTTAAGCATTCCATTAGCCGTGCTTCACTGAAGGTTTTCTGCTTCATTCAGTGAAGAAGCTCCTTATTTCTGGAAATCCTTGATACATCGGTCATATCAAAGAAAGAGTGGTCAGACAAAAAAAGCTGCAGATACGTACTGGCCATGAGCAAATCACAGTGGCTGAACAGGATGGGGGGGGAGGCTGGCTTTTTTTTTCATTTCAGCTGGGGCAAAAGTAGTACATAGAAATGGAAGATAGAGCCATTGTAGATGATGAGCATGTCCTCTTCGAATATTGTATGTGGAGCTGTAACCAAGCTAGAAAAGTAATCCATTAATTAGATGCATCTGGGGTGCCAACTGTAAGATAAGGGCCTTGTTTCATCTAGCGGGGGAGACAGAAAACCAGTACCTGTACTGGTGGTCAAAAGCAGTATACAGTCTCGTTAGCTGGCACGGGGCATTTTGTTTCTTTGGGGAATGAAACAAAGGACAGTAGCTCACAGATGTGGTTTGTGTCTAATACGGCTGCTGTGTTTAAAAAAAAAAACAAAACCAAAAAAATCCAATCCCCAAAACCGCAGTAGTGGGTTCAAGTATTCTACTAGCAGGCAGGAGGAGGTGAAAGAGAGACGGTATTAAGTGTGTGGATATGATCGCGATTAGAATTTTAACAGAAGTTTCTGCAAGAGCTGCAGTATAGCAAGCCAGTTTCTGTGCTGCACACCTCTCGCGTGAAGATGGCTCGTTACGTTCTAGCTGCAGCTCCAGGTCCCAGAGAAGGCAGGCCAAGAGCTGTCTTTTCAACCGAACCGCTCGTTGTCACCTTGAGCAAATAACTTCATTCCCTTGTGTTTCAGTAAATACATGTTTTATTTTATGTATTTAGAAGTAAATATTTATAAGTAATACATGTTTAAAGCTAACTTTTAAATATCTAAACTAAATATGTAGTGTGTACTTAAAGCAGGAATTACATGAAGTAGTCGATGAAGCAGAATTGAGTGTTGAGGCATTAAATCAAGCAACGTGTCAGAGCAAGGGGGACTAGGGTATCTGGCCATCATTTTCCGTTTGGGCAGCTGTGGGTTTCCAGTTCCACATACAGAGAAAGTACATGTGTGCACGCTTCCAAAGGCAAGGCTGGGCTAACAATGGCCTGGCTGGGAAGTGAGATTGTCAAAAGAGTGAATTTCCCATGACCCGACTGCAGTGTTACTTAACAGAAACACGTTGCTGTGAGGGTTTGACTGTGACAGAGAGGAAATGCTGCTTCTGGGGGAAAAAAAAAAAATTGAACTTTAGTTTCTAATTTAACCATTTAGGAGACAGACCTTTTAGTGAGCCACGTTTTTGTGCTTATGATGAGCATGTCTTTTACCAACAGCTTTTTAACAGCTTAGGAGTTTCTTTCTTTGTACCATTCAGGTTCCTTATCATTACTGCTTCAATTAATGGCTTTCTCTTGGATTTGAGATTTCAAGGTAGCGGCTTCTATTAAGAACCCGGACAGTGAGAGCGGCAGTTTCCAGAGCAAAGCATGGTTTCAATTTAGCTTAAGGTTTTAGCCTGGAGTTTTCCAGATGTTGTGACAGAGCGGGCCGTTGGCTGGTTGCCAAGAGACTGGGGGCTACACACCAGTTACCTGTAGCAAAACAAAAGCGCCTAGGGTTGGAAAGAAGATACACAACTTGGTTTCTCTCGCAGTTGCCTTAAGTGGATTTTCTGGGGGCTTGATAAAAGGGAACTGCTTATGCTGATTTCTTCAGCAAGTAGTAAACTTTCTTGTTCAGCTTCACTGTACACAAAGGGCATTCACAAATTGCTTTTATCACAATGTTGTGCATCTTCAGTGCCTTCAATTAAAGCGCAGGCATTACAGTTGGTTTGTTTGAAACTTCGAGCTAGTGTAGAGCACATTGCTAGTAGCTCTCTCCAACTGCAGTTCATCTTTATTCAGTCACAGATGGTCACAGCTATTTTGCTTGACAAAGCAAAATGTGGCTGTAGCGTATAGCTTTTTATTAGCCAAGAATTCAGGGTATCTTATCTTGAGTGTCGATTTAAAGGAGAAGTGCTTGTACAAAGTTCAGAATGAGGTTTAGACATGAGCCGCCTTGGTCATTACCAGCAGAAGGTGGGAATTTAGTTTGGATCGCTTCCTTTTTACAGTCCTGTTTCTTTGCACTAATTTTGTCTCTGCTCCTCAGTTCTCACAAGTTAACTGCTTTCGTATTCTAGGAGCTGGAGTTCCTACGAGTGGCTAAGAAAGAGAAACTGAGAGAAGCAACAGAGGCGAAGCGCAACTTAAGGAAAGAGATAGAACGTCTGAGAGCTGAGAATGAGAAGAAAATGAAGGAAGCCAATGAGTCTCGGATACGACTGAAGAGGGAACTGGAACAAGCCAGGCAGATCCGGGTGTGCGACAAGGGCTGTGAAGCAGGCAGGCTCCGGGCCAAGTACTCAGCCCAGGTAAGACCCGAACACTGAAAGCTATAATAGCAAGTAAGCTTACTCTTTCTGCAGTTTTCAGGGTTGATTCAAGTGTCTGTCTGTCCTCTAATGCCGGTGCCCTTGTTTTGTCTATTTTGATGCAAGTCCAGCTCGTATCTATAGACCGCCTCTGCCCCCGTCATGTCAATTGACAACCCTAGTCCTAATGCAAGGTGTTAGCAACTTGCCTGCACTCCAACCACCTCTGTCAGTCCCACAGTTCTGCCTAGAACTTTGCACATTTGGCAGCTGAAAATCACCATTTACAGAGAAGTAAGACAAAGGCTAGACATTATTCCAGTTCCGCTAATACTCTGTTGGCACTGCCAATGCACAGGGCTCCATTTCAGTACTGTAAATATTAGGCAGAGCCACTCTCTCTAATAGTATTCTTCCTTGAAGAGATCAGCCTAGATTTATGGGAACTATTTAAGACAAGAGAAGAAACCAAGGCCCATCAATAAGCAAACTGCAGTGCTGGGAAGGAGTGATGTTTAGAGTTGTGAAGCACAAGAGCAGCAAACAGGCAGGTCTAAGAAAAGACTTCCAGTTAGATCTCAGTGAAAGTTCTAGGAATGCAGGAACATGTTGTTACAAGCAACACGTATGCTTTAAGCTTTCCACCTAAAAATCCCTCCCCACCCTTTCTGCATCAGATTCTCTTGCAATAAAAGATTCTGAAGTTTATTTAAACCATCCAAAGCCAAGCGAACCAAGAGCTCAGGCTGCACATCCTTAAGTCGCTTTGTTGTGTCTTGGTGTTGCAGGGCATGTGGAATGCAAGGCCATCCACTGTTCCAAGCCCCCTGAAATGACCCAGCATAACAGGCTGATCCGAGAGCAGAATGGCAGCCTCCTGGATTTCCGTGAGAAACAGCCCTGAAGAGGAATCCATTGCATGCCCTGCCTTCCCCTTCCTCCAATAAAACAATCCCAGTTGCCCAGTAATGCACTTCCTATAAAAGGGCATGGTCCCACACCCATTGTTAACCCCCTCCACCCTGCCACGGAGAGGGGCTCCCAAACAGCCCCTCTCATTAAGGCTGACTCCTCTCCTTGCCACAGCTGCCTCCCCTGGAGTCTTGTTCCGACCTGCTCCCACCTAAATATCCCACTGGCAACCCACCGTCCCCACCACTGCTTCCCAGGCTAAAAGCCTGGCTCAGAAACGCATGAGAAGGCAAGGGTGAGCAAGCGTTAGCAGCAGGAGGGCTCTGAAAAACAGAGCACACTTGCCCAAGTCAAAACTCCTACAGCAGGGATATAGCGCTTACATGCAAATGCAATGTCAGTGTCGTACATTTGCGAGATTAAAAAGCTAAAGGGGCCTCTTCGTGTTCACTGTAGCCACTTTCCTGCCAGGCATGTTGTTAAGCACACGTGCTTCATGAACACGTTGTTATGCCTAAAGCGTGAGCTGCCAATATTTGGTGTGGTCACTTTAAGGAGGGGGCTGGGGCGGGGGGGGGAAGAAAAAGCACCAGCAATCAGAAACTCTTCTAACAACTCCAGGCTCTCAGTAACGGGAAGGGGAGGGGTCCACTTGTACCACTATGAGACACGTCTAACCAGGAGACCAGAAGCAGGAAATGATGCGGGCTTCCTCTCTAGCATCACAGGATGTCTCACTGATAAGAGGTGTCCAGACTAAACATAACCAGATTGAGAGCTGCTGCGCTGGGCGTTACCGGCAGTTGACTTCCACTTGAGGGGAAAAAAAAAAAACCAAACAAACAAAAAAAAAAAACAAGGCAAGAGCAAGCACAGATAAAAAGTAGATGCCATATGTACCAAGTAGAGCTTTGCAAATCTGCAGGTGTGTCCTCCCTTGCTTTGTGATATGCATGACGGTTTTTGACAATGTGGATTTTCAGTCTCCCTTCAGTCTCCCACGTTCCCTCCCTGGGAGGGAATAAATGAGGTTTCCTAATATGGCAGGCGAAAATCCCCTCAAAAAGAACTCAAGTTGCTGAATATTCTGCCGCTTTGTCTTTTCTAATAGAAGCCACTAATGGCACAGTCGCAGTATCAACTGCAACGTCCTGTTGTATGTATTTAGGCTGCCGTTACAGCACCAGAGCGCAGTGCCGTGGCGTGAGGACGCTCATTAAGCCCCAAATGCACGAAAGCTGTTTTAGTGCTGTGCCTGGGCAAAATGTCACCTGGCAACTAATGTCGCAGGGTGTGGAATAGTTGCTTCGTTTAGCAACTACCGCAACAATTTCTGCATGGCACGCACTTAATCGAGAAATACCTTAAGTAAGTAAGTAACTTCGAAGTCTGAGTTTTACAAGATGTCAGTATGACTTCAGTTCTTAAGTCATGTAAGAAATTTTAAAGTAAAGCTTTATACATCCCTTTTATGTTTAATTTGGAGCGCACACAGGAAGTTTGTCACTTAGGTTGTGTTCATCCCTTATTATTATTGAGGAAACCACAATTCTCTAGACAGGCTTAGTTGGAGAGAAAGAGCATTAGACAAGCGTGAGAGGAAATACAACACATTCAGGGGTGTAAATGTCTTTGTGTGAGCTTAAAGTATTAGCTGCTTAATACCTATTGAATATCAGGGTGGTTTAGGCCTTTCTTTTTTCCTGCCTTGATACCGAGATCCAAATATGGATGGGGTGGCAGGTTAGCCTTCATTTTAGGCCAAAACATACAAGTTTTCCTTTCCTTTGTTAAATGGCATTCTTTGATAACTGCTAATCTTACCTGTTTGTGGCCTAAAATTGCATATTTCAAATGGGTGCAGTTTTTCTCATGTTTCCACCCTTGAATAGTGGGGCTTTTCTCTGCCTCTGTTATCAGTAAGTACAAAATAGGAAGATAGACTACTGAGGCCTGTGGGGAGGCTGAGGCCATCTGTGTGTCTTGCTGTAAGTCAGAGAAAGACTGTTAGATCTCAGCAAGTGAGCTCTTCTAAGGCTATTTGGAGCATGTATTTCTTTTAAGTTCATTTCTGTGCAAAGTTACTACATATTAGGACCTATTCCTGCCAGCTTCTTTCTTAAGAGTTGAAATGGTGCTAATTTTCACTGTTGCTTGGAGAGTTTCTGCTGGTTCAGAGGACTCGCTGTGTCCCAACTTTCTCTCATCCATATCCACAATCCCCTTGCCCTCTACACCCTACCTCCACATTCTCCTTGCCCGTCTTGCCTCCTTACAGTTCCTTAGGTTCAGTACGAAGGCTGCAATGGCTCTTGTACAAGAGGATGCTGCAGTTGCTCGTTGGACATTAATCTATAGCTGAGACATGGGCCTTTTACATAGGCAACTGAGTTTGTTTCTTGTCACTCATGTGAATAACTGCTGTAAAAGATCTGAAAGTAAATTGCCTGCACAAACTTTGCTGAATTGCTGTCTGCCTAGAGAAATAACAGGAATGGGTTAAGAAGTACAGTGCCCAGCGTTCTGTTATATGAAGGCACTCTTAACTATTCTGTTTTTCACCCACCTTTCTTATTAAGCCACCAGAAATATTTAAGAATGTCCAAGCTAAACAGTTCACGCACTGCACTTGCATAATTGTACAGTAGTGTATGGAAAAAGTAGGAAAAGGGGAATTTCTTCCTCACCTCAACTTTGATCATCCTATCTCTGGAAGTATGTGGTTGTATTACTCTTCTCTCCTTGTGCTAAGACATTAGTCTCTGTTAAAGTCTACAAAATCACAATGGAACTGAAATATTAAAATAGTTTATTATGTCTCTTAATTTGCTTTTCTCTAGATTGAGGACCTACAGGTTAAGCTTCAGCATGCAGAGGCTGACAGGGAGCAGCTCCGAGCTGACCTGATGCATGAAAGGGAGGCTCGGGAACACTTGGAAAAAGTAGTCAAGGAACTTCAGGAACAACTGTGGCCTAAATCAAGCAGTCAACCCAGCAGTGAAAACACAACGAGCAACATGGAGAACTAAACAACCACCACATCATCTAATACAGCGACAGAATGACATATATGCACAGTAAGGGAGGATGCGTGGGGTACGTGTGTAAGTGCATGTGTGAGTAGTTGTGTCTTGGCACACAGATCCGTGAATATGGATTCTTACTAGGTGGAAGGCCAATGTTACTCTTTATAACAGAAGCACTGAATTACGCCTCTTTTTTTTTCCAACCCATATAGCACAACATCTTACTGTGCCTATAAAACACAAAGTGTTTATAAACAAAATACTTTTAAGTCCACAGCAAATTTTCTACTGGCAAACTCCAAGCAAGCAGCATCGTCCAACTAAAATCAGAGTAAAGGCAAGCATGGCAGTGTTTTTATGTTGCCCTTCTGCCTGTTGGAACATTTTGGAATTTAAAAACAAACTTTTCTTATAAGCTATTTAAAATAATTCATTACACAGACTTGGTATTAAAAAATTAACAAGATTTTTATAATGAACCTGTAAAAGCAAAACAAAAAAAAACCTTCAATGCACAATTTTTAATGACTTGTTACAGGCTTTGGGATTCTTAACGTAGAAGCCCTCTGGTGATGATGCCATTTCATTAGCAGTTTTCCAGCCATCTAGGAAGCCGTCACAGTTTTAATCCCGTCACGTGGTTGTATGAGAATTTCAGAGTGCTTTTCAAAGTTGATTTTTTCTGTAGAAAGAATTATCTTCATTTCCTGTCCTGAACACAAGAAGAAAGGAAGATGCAGGATTGTCGAGGGAGGGGGGTGGGGGGGATGACGAGAAGATGTACGCTTTAGAATTCCAAACCCAGCCTTACAGACTTCAGTGTTTGCAAATCATGCCATCTTTTCTAAAGACATTTTCATTAACTGATGTGTTCAAAAGACTCACTTCATCCAAGAGCACTTCAGCTTTAGGAAAAGAAAGAAGGAAATAAAGGAAGGAAATGGATGATCGGTTGAGAAATAAAGCAGAAGACACATGCGTTTTGAAGTCATTCTGAAATCTTTACTTCAGCTTTCAGTTTTCTGGAAAACTCGTCTTTGTTGCACCATCTTACCATAAATTCAGTATTTACCTGCTTTTATTATGAACCGTCAGTCAGGATTTCTGTGCCCAAGGAGAGTGCAACATCGCATTATCAGATACTACAGAAAAGAAAAACATTTTTGCTGCTGTGAATAAGCCTACATCTTTTTTTTTAAAAAACAAAACAAAACAAAACTTTTTTGTTTTTAAAAAGAGCAATTACTTTAATTTTGGGATCCAAGCCGCAGCCCCGGAATAAAAATGCAGCACGCCATCACTTTTGTCTTATTGTTGTTGTTGGTGGTGGTGGTGGTGGTGATTTTTTTAATTTTTTTTTTTTTAAACTGCACTTTGTCACAATCTTACTCTGCATTTTATTCCATGTTTCTAAAGTTTACAAGTCGAGCATTCTAGATTCTACCCTGCCTAACAGATGTGAAAATCATCAACCCCATTTTCCACCATGTGACACCTTGCCTCATCATTTACGCAGTGAGGATTCAGCAGGTATCGAATGCTGCCAAATACAAATTCACCAGACCAGTGCGCTGCTGGTTGAGTTTTAAACCTGTTTTGCGTGACTTTGTATCTAACAGCAGCTGGGAAGCAGTCAAGATGCTCCCGGAAGTGCTTAAAGAGAGCTGGTGCTTTACTGAACAAGAGAAAAGTTATTTTCACCCGTAAACACTCACCTCTTACACACTCAAGCGTATCGGCATAAAGTGAAAATTTGATCTGGGGCTGCAGATGTGCCTTCCAGCTCATTTTTCCTCTCAGCATCTTATACAGGCAATGCTGACACTTTTTTTACCTTAAAGAATAAAAACAGGAGAAAAAGGAAAAAAAAAAAAACAAAACCCTATGCATCATCATACACAGAAGTTATTCTAAATGAAGAAACATATTTCCAGTAATCTTTATTTGCTTTTTGGACATTAATGCAAACTATTTAATCTTAAAAATTATTTCCCAGTAGACAGAAAGCGGCTTCCAATCCTAAAATTATAGTATTTACTTACATTAGAGAGATTTTTTTATTTTTTTTTAAACAAGAGCTGTTTGCTTGAAACCATTATGATAACCATTATAATAACTGTGAGCATTAACAAAGAAGTTCATATATATGTTTTAGGTACAAAAAGAAGAAATATGAAAGGAGTACAATTACTGGGACAATGTAAAACTGTTGGGAGCAAGAAAGAGTTATACCAAGTAAATTACATGAAACTGTCCGTTTATACAGGGGTTTGCCCTTGTGTGTTTGGGATGCTGGAGACTGAGTCTAGATGCAGATCTCCTCTTCTAAAGTGCAATGCAAAAGGAATTTTGATTATGCTTAAGCAGGTTTTTTTAATGTGGGGTTTTTTTTTTTCTTCTTTGTATGTTTTTTTCTGCGATTATTAAATCATATGCATGGAATTAAAATCTCTGCCATACGTATATTCATTAATGGGCATTATTACTGTCTTATGTAAAGGGTTTATTTTGTTATGCAGTATGCATAAAAATGTTCTCAGCCTTATGATTTCCAGATCTGTATTATTCACTTATTTCTTCAAGGGAAACTAAATAATTTTAGCTTTAGTTGATCATTGTGCATTTCAAAAGCCTCATATGCTATGCTTTACTGCCATGTTAAGAAATTACACATAGAACAAATGTATTCCCACCCCCACTGCCAGCTTCTTTGAAGCCTTACGTCTTAAGTTTTGTTTGTTTGGGTTTTTTCCCCTGAGCTTTGATTGCGTCTCACCCCTTATGACTCAACACAAAATGGCAACATGTCCTTCTCCGTGTTTTTCATAGGAAAAGCGGCCCACTTACCTGCAGCACCCGACATAGTTTTTCTTTCTTGTGCATCTAGGGGAGCATGCTGATTCACTGGCACAATTTCTGCTGTGCATATGATGCTTTTATCCTCCAAAATTAATGAAATCTGCATTTTTTCAAAGGAAAAAAAACAGCACAGTAAATAGGCTTATCAACAGTAAATAGTCTCGTCAAACAAGCAGCATCACCTGTGCTTCACATCCAACAGGGATAAGATTTGCAAGAAAGAAGTTCCCAAAATAAATTCACAACTATTGTTACAAACCCATGCATGATGGTAATTCGATGAAGTGTAATATATGACAAATGAACTTCACATTGAAGTTAAGACTCAACAGTATGCGATCCTTGGGAGTGAAAACTTCCTAGTAAAAACACTTCTATAACTTACGATTTAAAATCAGTAAGATGAAATAAGGTGCAAGACGACTGAGAACAAACATTCTACACCAGCAGTTAATCAATAGGACAGGTTTACAGCATAGGAGTCTATCTTAAATAATTTTGTCTTTCCTAAATACATTTTAAACAACAAAGTCTTTATTTCTGCAGAATATATAATTTAATTCAGAATTCCTGTGCATGTAATTTATTTTAGAAATGTCAGAAGATGGCCACAGAGACACTAATCCTAGAAAAGGGCTGTTAAAACAGTGGGAGTCTTCAGAGGAAAAAAAATAAAATAAAATTTGTGAAGGTGCTTAAGGTGAGGGAGTTCTGTGTGTAATTTCTCTGTCTGCAACACTTCAGGAAAACAACTGTTAGCCCGTTCAGATGAACTGCTTTCCTTTTGACTTACTGTGGAGTCCCTGCTGCATTCCATTTGCACTCCAGCCTGTGAGTGTAGGAATTGTAAAGTCACATCTTCTCATTTCATCTGCTCTTTAGTTTCCTTTAAGAAGTTAAAAGGGAGAAGAGGTGTTTCATACAGGCTGTTGACTCTCCCTGTACTTAAAAATATATTACTTAATACTTGTATATTCAGTTTAATTACTCATTGTTTCTATTACTGAAAGAAGACTTAACGAAGGGAAAAAAAACCAACAGCAATAACATTCATATCTATGGAGCAGCTAACTAGTATACATAATATTCTGCTTTTCAAACAGAACTAGCCAATGTAAAAAAAAAAAGTTAAAAGTAAATTCAACATGTAAATACTTTTTTTCATTTTACACTGTTGTATTATAAGTGTATATGGTGTTTACTTTTTCAAAACTCTTTCTTACCTGGTAGTTGTCTTGTTTTATGAGTTGTGTTTTTAACTAAGAAGAACCTTTGCTGTCTGTTAGGAAAAACAAAACAAAATCTTTTTGCAAGTTTTAAATGTGGGTTAACCTTTCTCCATCATTTGCATTTTATTTGTCCTTATTTTCACTGTAAAGTATTTTATTACCAAAAGATTGATTTTCTTTCCATTCTGCCCTCTCATCAGTCCATGTGTTTTTGAGAGAAGTTTTTTGTTGGTTTGGTTGTTGTTTTGTTTTTGGTTTTGTTTTTTTTTGTTTTGTTTTGTTTTTTTAATCAAAAGAACTCACAGAAATGACATTTTTTCAATTGAAGAAAAATAAATCTTTACATTTATAATAGCCAATAGCATTTCAGCACATTTTTGTTATCCTGGTCTCTCCTATGCTGCTGCTAATGACAATATTATGACTTACTCTACTATTCTAGAACTATTTTTATGTAAGTAATGTATGCTTTCTTGTTTATAAATGCCTGATTTAAAAAAAATAAGAAAAAAGCTTGGCATATTTATCTATTTCGCTGTGTACCTTGATAGTCCTTTTCCACCCCCTTTTCCACATCCCCTCCCCTTGAAGCAGATAATATTGTAAAATAAAGGACTTTATGAGATTATGTATGAAAATAGCTATGCTTATATACCACAGTGACTGAATGTACAGTGTATAGACGCATTACCTAAAATAAAATTGTTTGTCCAGAAAAAAATAAATAGCTATGGTATGGTTTTTGAGTTTTCTGTGCTTGCAGCTGTGGCCTGCTCAGGACCAGCCAACTTCAGAGACCGTACAGTTACCTGAAAAAGTGCTAGGTACCTCTGTTGGAAAACTCCAGACGTCTTAAAATTAAGTTAAACACCACAAACATACAGAAACTCTGCTGCACATGTGCACACACATAACCGCTGGATCCTGTCACTTGCCTTACATTCATTTCCCAGGTCACGCATGTATATGTATCTAAA